CAGCAAGGCTAAGGGCGACAGGTTGGGCCGAGTCGAAATCACCAACATTCTTTCCGTTAATCCGTGTATGATGCATCACGAAGACTGCGCAACACATGTGAGCCCCAAAGAAGCGCTGGAACTGCAAAGGCAAGGTGAGAAACACTCACGTGTTCGAGGTTCAGAATGACGCGGAACTTGGCGCACATTGGCAGCAAGGCGGGTGAGAGACAAATGGATATCAAACAAAGTAAAAAGATCACAGCGCATCTGTCACGTTATCCTGCCTTGCCAGTTGCCAACCATTTTCGCACATCTCCAGCAAGTGCAACCTGCTGTGTCCTGAATCCCCGAGCAACATCGATGTCAAACGCATGCCTTCTTAGAATGAAGTCTGCAATTTTCAGTATCTAGGGCTCTTGGGGTCTTGAGAGTTTGGCCTGCATTGCCGATGGTACAGCATTTCTGCTTGTCTGGGCAGCCGTGCGAGCAAGCCTTCTGATTTCGTACGTCTTCTCGGTGATTGTTGAGCTGATTCATATTTTGGATTCTGAGAAGCTTTGGCTTGGCTTCGCCGGCTCCATTTAGGTGACTAGGTAGTAGCAACACAAAGACCCAAGCAAACCTTACAAAAAAGAGCCAACCTGCATTTCTCAGTAGCTACACCATGTCTTTGCCAAAGCCTGATGGACCAGCTCACACGAGCTTGCAGTAAATAGGGGTTGCCACGATACATCGTGAGTCTTTTCTCGCTGAAAAGGAACCCAGCATTTGGTTCATACGTCCTCAGCTTCAGGATCTCCGCATGGCTTGACGCCAGAGCTTCCTTGGCCAGAATTTGCTCTTGAACAGATTCTGCAAGACGCAAGACCCACTCATGCATTACGCAGGACATGTACAGGCCGGAGTCCCTCATCAGCTGCAGCTTCAAACGCAGGGCATCCTGCTTGGAGGTTGAATTCGTTGTCACTGCAAACATGAAAAACAAATCACATGGAATGACGACATCAGATGTTTACGCGGACCTCAATTTGGTTACTAGAATGGCTTCTCGTCTGGAGAAACATGTTTCTACCTGGTGAGTACCGATCCACCACTGCCATTGCCACCAGTATCTATGGGTGAACGGTGTCCTGGTCTGCACGGTACGCAGCCAAACTGCTGCGGCGAATATCCTGCACTTCTCTGCTGGTATTACACATCGACGTAGGTTTGCCCACAAGACAAAAGACTTTGATACAGAATCTCCGCGCACAGGACAAGTATCTAGACGTCCTCGAATCTTGCCTCCATCTCCCAGTCATTTGCAGCCTGCGGGTTCCAACTTCAAGCACCGCGCGCAAAGGCATGCAAGGCACGCCTGCTCTCGTTTCAGCTGCAGATTGAGCTCGTCCAGACAAGTATGGCTTTGAGCCTGAGACCTTGGACGACCGTGAGCGAAAGATGATAGGCTGTGTGCTGCTCATGCTGTTGTAGACATGCGCTGACTTTCTGAGCGCCTGCACTCCGCCAAAAGCATCATCCTTGTCAACGGGCCATAAACACACACACACACACACAGAGCATGCAACCACTGTGACGCATCCTATGCTAGAGAGGAATGTACAGGAGACCAGGGTGAAACCTCGATCATCCACAAAAGAAAACCACTGACCACTGCAAACAACCAGGGGAAATAAGACAGCCGAATGCACCTGTGTCTCTTTCAGCATCTTCCTCTTCCTGTTTCATCCGGCATCTAGTAGCTTGGGCCAGGACTCCTGCTGCTTGGCCAACACCTCCTGCAGCCGCCCCTCTGCTTCTGCAGCTGCGGCAACCTCCGAGCTCAGCTCCTGGCGAGCTTCAAAGTGCTCCAAAGGTGAGACTCTGTGGACGACACAACTAGATCTCCTCCTTTCGCGTTGTCTGCCTGTCCACCTCCTTGGTGAGAGCTGCGTGCCGCTTTTGCACCTTGCAGCCGTTGCTGTACGCTGTACAGGATATGATGTTTCGCTTGAAGGTTAGTTAATCAGAAGTCTCATCATCACACCATGCCAATGCATTTTTGTTGTCTTTTGCAGCCTGAGCCTCTAGCGGAAGCAAGTGAAGCTGCCAACGCGGAAAAGGTTGCCGCCTCGAATTAAGCGCACGTGTTGCGAAGACGGCGCACGCAACTGGCCAAGGGCTTACCCCTTCACGTGAGAGATCGGGACGCTTGAAAACTGTGGACGAGCTTTCTACTTGTCCCAGGGCGTCTTTCAGGATCTGTGATGGTGATACTGCCAGTGCAGAATTATTGTGAAGGAGTTTCTGCACTTCCATCCTAGAGCACGTGGTTTTGCAGGATCCAAGCCTATGTGTCTACATGTTTTGACCTTGGGTGCAAAGAAGTAGCTCAAGCTAACTTACAAATTCTGATACCAATCCTGAATCTGTGCAGACACTATAAATAAGGAAAGGCAAGCACATTGCACTGCATGAAACCAATGCGTAAGTTTTTCTTCAGCGGTCGATCGGCATACCACAATACTCTCGACAAGTACTGGTAGCGGTCCCACGAAGGGGGGGTTGCTTTTTCATGCCCAATACGACCGAAAGTCCCATGCACCTCCCAGCCTTTTACCAAACTGCTGCAACGAAGACTCCATCTCCAAGTCTTAGGATCAGAGTCCCAGCCGCTGTAGCACTGCCGCCTGGTCCCCGAGCCAGCCGGAGCTGATCCTCGCACTTTTAGTAGGCAGAGTTCAGGGTCTGCAGGATTATCGGTGAGGGCGATAAAGTCACAAAATGCGCGTGCCTCGGAGAGCGGATGGGACTCCGCTGCCCAACAGTTTGGATTGGAGAGTGGAGTGGGTTTGAACGGCCTTTGGTCTGAGCAACTGCTTGAACATGACGACCCTAGGAATGATATACGAAATAATGGCAAATCAATTGGAAAATCAACGGGAAACAGAGTTTAGAATGCCAGACTTGCCTAGAACAACCCTGCGTGTTGCCTTTGAACCCACTTCATGAGACCAAACCTGTAAGCGGTAATCTCCAACGGCGCAAGAAGGCAAACCACACCAGAAAATCAAAAACAAGAAGGCTGAATTAGGCTTCAAGGCAACAGAAGCCCATCCAAAACGCCAAGACTCTTGTACTTCATCGCAGAATTGCCAGACGCGTCGAAGTAGCCATCCTTCTCAAGGCAGCGTTATCTGTAGCTTGCAGCTTGCAGCTGCGATGCCCGCCAACACACTGGCCTTCCGCTGCATCCTGATCGGACAAGCCGCTTCTGCAGGCCTCCTTGCATGGTGCAGATTGACAGGACTTTAACGCAATTTGATGTGCGCTTGAATTCTGTGCATCAACTTGCGAGGAACGAAGGGAAGCCCGCTCCTTGAGGCGAAGGATGGATATGTTCAAGGACTGAGATAATGCTTCCAGGGTGCACTTGGCATCCTCCTGGCAGGTTTTGGAACAAGACGTGAGGGTCATCACGAGCCACCTTGCATCGGCTCTTCTTACAAACAGCTGGGCTCAATCAGGGCAGTCAAAAGGATGCCAATCTGACTCTCAGGCCCCAATCCTTGGCACCTGCTTCACCAGCGATGCGCTGTTGCAGAGACTGGCAAGTTTGAGGCAACATCGCAGATGTTCACACGTCTTTATTTCACTGCGTTACTATCCGACATTGCTGTTGGAAGGGCAGTCGGGGCATTTTTCAAGATCTTGTAAGCAAATTTGCAACAGCAGCTTAAGCACCATGAGCCTCCAATGACGACGGCTGATAGGTCGAGATGAAGGACCTCTGAAAGCTGCACAGTACTTGCTCTCCTCTCGCTGGCAGATAGGAAGGACACAACCGTTGTAGCACCATGTTCGTCTGAAAAGCTTGCCACACATACCCTGCGAAACAACTTCTCGTTCGTTTATGTACCCTTAAGGGTCCACAGAAACCACCTGAAAGGCCTAAGGGACCATATTAGGGGCCCATACTTCTAACCTGGGACTACAAAAACTGAACATCTCCATCTGAGAGTTCTACCCTGTGTGCTGTGGCGACTGTGATGTCACTACATCGCCACGGCTGAACCTGTGTCCAAGTATCACAAGCAAACGGATCAAAACAGGTATCCGATGGGTGGCATCATAAGCCTTGCTGGGGAGCAGCGTGGCAGCGGAGGCAAAGGAGCCGTCGCCACCAGGGGCTCCTCAGTGCACTTAGCATCTCAAGGCCCCCGGCATTAATTATGAAAAAGAGGCATTAGAGAGGCCAAAAATTGCTGAGCCCGAGGTCGGAGCGGACAAGGCTTGGGCAGGCCGCTGGAAAACCATCTCGTGAAGAGCAAGTGTCTCGCGGTGCTGCTCTGGGGAAAAATTGTCAACTGCAGGCCTGTGCATAATAAGCTGTTTTTGGCAAATCAAGATGTCAGATAGATCCACCACTCGAAACCAGATCACTTAATGCGGCGGCTGTCAGGAATTCTGCCACCTCATCTTCCTACCTTGCTGCAGCATCCACATGAAATCCTGCGAATGGTGTCAGAACATCATCTAAGCATTCCAGGCAACAAGAGATACATGCATATATATATATATGTATACATAAATATGTATACGTGTGTATACATAGATACATACATACACACATACATACATACATACATACATACATACATACAGACATGCATACATTAATTCGAAAGAGAAAAAAAAGCTGCCCACTAATCACAACTCGGCGAAGCTCTCCGGTTTGCTGAGCCATCGATAGCACTCCTAAGCTTGGCATCACCAGAAAATCGAGATTGGAAACAGGGCAGCCAGGACAAGCCGTGAACTGATGGTTCAGGCATGAGATGAAAAGTCCTGGACCCATGAAAACTGGGCAGTTGCACAAATTAAACAAAGAATTGAGTCGTGCGCTTGTCTGGCATCCAGAGCTTGTGTACAGTGGGGATTGAATACATAAGCTGCAATCATACATGACAAAATGTGCCGTTGCACCGGCACAAGGCGCACGCATGCTGTGGGTGCAGCAGTTCCTTGGAATACGAACTTCAGGCAACCTTCTTCTCTAGCTCTTCCATCTCAGGAAAACGCTGAACGCCGCTGACACCTGGTGATTGATGCACGCGAGGCAAGTTTTCGCACTTGTGCTACACAGAAACAATGAAACCATGCCTGGTTCATTGTTACATACAAGTCTTCACAAGTCCCTGAAGAAAAAGTGGATGCTTGGGTATGGGTTACCAGCCGCCTTCATTCTCGAGCCCTGCCACGATGGCCCTCGACAGGGTGGTAACGGTCACCTGAAGTCTGTGATGTTGTTTGGCGAGGCAAGTGAGGTTCAGGACCTTTTGCAGGTAGTTGATGTGCCGGTGATGCGTGGTTTTGCAGGCACTGTTTCCACCTAAAACATCCTAAAATCTTGATACCTCATGAAAAGTGGAGTGCCAAAGCTATGGCAATCTGCACCGAGCAGCTGTCTTGTCGACGAAGGGAACGCCAAGTGCATTCAGCAAGTTGAACACAGGAATGACTGGCCTGAAAATCAAATCATGCATCCGAAACAAAGTTCTGCTGTCATTGATTGTGCTTCTGCAATGGCTCGTCTCCCTGGGACAGGCTATGGTAGAGGGGCACATCAACCCAAACGAAGAGCCAAGAGCCGAGCAGAACGTCAAATTTCGTCCAGCTCCAGATCAAGGAGGGCCTTGCATACCAAGCTGGATGTGTTCGAGTTACGCGAGTTCCGTCTTGCGGACTCAGTGATCAGGCCTGAATATGGCAGACCTGATTGTGTCCGCACTTGCTGTGAGCTCACTCTCAACCGCGCGCTTGGCTACCAGATACTCCTCAGATTTGCATGCATCACAGATGCGTGCCACAAATCTGTGCTCACCATCCAAGGGACTTTGGCTATCAGAATAGGCTTCACTAATGGACTTTGCTCCCTTATCGCTGGATGAGTACTTAATGTCAAGCTCTTTGGGGCACAAGATGACATCTGGCAAAGGTATCAAAACTGGCGTCCTTCAGCCAGGCTGGGGCCACGTTCTCTACCTGTCACACTGCTCTCGACATTGCGCACGGTTCAACAGTTTTCAGTCTGCTGGAGTAATTAGGCAGGCCTAGGCAGCTGCTTGAATTTGACGCACATCACTTGTTTTGCTGGGCCCCACCTGCGGACCTAGTGCCACGTCTGGCCAGCCCGCCTGGCAGGACTAGAACAATGGATTGGGCTCCAATCTTGACTCCGTCTAGCACTCCGGGTAGGTCAGTCTGAGGAGAAGGGAGCTTCCAGTTCATGGGTTCTCGACGTGGGAATTGAGATCCTATTCGTACGTATTTGGAAGCTGTTGAGACCAAATTAACTGTGAAATGGTGTTACGAGCGAACATGAGAACAAGCTTTTCCGACAATTTTCACAAACTGTGTAACGTCTTTAAACGGTAGCAAGGGGCTGGCATTCTGGGCGAGTTTCTAAACTCGACAATTTTCACACGGCCTCCGCCGCGGAAACAAACATCATTGGCATTGGTGGCGAGAAAGGCCTAGGGTGTTCTGGCCGCATACCCATACTATGCTAATGAACATCTTCTTGGGCATGCTGCTGCCACTCTGGGCCCATGGCATGCGGATACGGCCCTTGATGGCATTGATTACGTTGAAGGCCTGGAAGAATTGCAAGAGTGTGCAAGTGGGAGGCCTCACGTTCAATTGCTGGGCCTTTGACCGTCTGGCGAGTAGTTTTGTCGTAGGTGCTTGCATCATCTGGCACGGAACCGGATCCACTTACCTCACGTATGCAACTCGTCGATACTCGCCAAGCACAGTAGCCTGCGTGCAAAGTATTTTTCTCTGTGCTTGCTGTGGCAACATTATAATGTTCCATGCCCTCCCAAGTCTGGCCCGGTAACCTCCAAAATTCGCAGAGGTCCCGGCAATGATGTTAAGGTTCGTGAGGCCGCTGTTCACGTCAAACAACAGGCCGATGGCCTGTAGCCAGCACAAGCCACGACACAAATGGCCCAGTCATGGCAACACGCTGCTTCAGCGCGCTGCGCTGAGCTTTTGAGCACCGCACATGAACAACGGCATCTGCCTCGCCTGGCGTGAGAAGCAGAAACAGCCTCGTTCCAGCTGCTGTGCGTCAGGCCTACCATGCTCTGGACCGTGGAGAAGTCAGCCGCGTTGCCCTGCGTCCAGGCTGCAAACATTCCCCCCTTAGGCACACCCTAGGCCACTAAAAGCACCATTCGTGCCGAAGTCTACTTTAAATCCAGGGCTCCTCAATCCAAACTTGCCTCGACAACCTGATCTGCAACCTCCTTCCTCCACATTTGCATCTCACTCAAAATCCCTGCGTTTCGTGCTCTCTGCAGAAATCGCTGGAACAGACACAGAACTGTTCCAGCAGCAAGCATTTGGCATCAACCAAGAAGCCGATCAAATCCACCAAAAAATGGAAGCATCAAAGATCGAATGCCTTGACCCAATTTACCTGATCAAGCTCCGCATTGCCAGGCTCAGGATTCTCCCCTCGCCGGCTAAGGGATGTGACCTGGCAAGATGCCGTCGTGAAACTTGCTTCACAAACTCTCCACCCCATGCAACTGCAGGCGGTCTCGGTCACTGACCAACAGCAACAGCAACCAGCAACCGGCAGCATCAAATGCCTTGAAGCCCCTCTGCACGGCCAGACGACAAACCTTCCGTGAGCAAACAGATCAGCCATGATATCGGGCTTAGCAACAAGACAAACTCTTGATTGCCCTCGAACAGCGAGCATTTGTCAAACGAGTCCCCATCGACGAATACTCAAGTTCATGCGGCCCTTTTGGGTTCGGACTACTTCCGGCCGAGGCTGACCGAAATGGCAAGGCATCCCAAATTCCCAGGGCTTGACTCGCTGGTCAAAAGCAATGCTTCATTTGCTGGAATGAAACCTCACCACCATCTGAAGCTTTGATCTGACACGCTAGCCCAATTGTGTCAGCATGTGATCCTGGCCTCACGTCCAACAAAGCCGTTGCCGCCAAACACGAGCAATCGTTTTCCAGCCTCGGTGTGTCAAAGTCCTCATGAATACCACTACCATCTGACAATCATCAATATCAACGATTGGCATTCTAATCCTATGCTTTGAACATGATGGCTATTATGTGGCATTTGAGAGGTGAGCTCGGTTGGCATCCCAGCATGCACTGACCTTGCCTGCCAAGAGCCGTGCCGAAGACTCCTCACCCTCAGCAGCACGAGCAATGGCAGAGCCCACAGGTGATGCCTCGCCATATTCGAACAAGAAGTCTCTTCACATCTTACCCTGCGTTCACAACAAAGGCATCTGAGACAGCAGCAAAAAACACTTATGAAGCAAAGGCTTGATCTTACATGGCGTTGCTAAGATTGCCAGGCAACAGTCCGGCCTGCATGTTTGCGAAAGCCACGTTCCGAGACACCTGTCACACTCTCACCACAGCAGGCTGCACAAAGATTAGCTCCGAGATTTATTCCAATGCCAGAATCCCTTGCAAACTCCTCCAGTTTCATGACGAACCTGATGATACATACAGCCCCTATAACAAGCCTGCAGTAAGATTTATGACTGAAAACTTTCTAGGTCGCCCACGACATGCAAGATCCATGGGTGGGAGATACGACTGAAGATAGTGTGGCACTTGTGTATCCACATCTCGGCATGGTCAGTTTCCAAGGCCTCTAATGTGCATAGCTGCGCCAGGCAGTGCAATGCTACTCCAGCTGCCACCAGGAGGCAACAGGCCTCACGTGTTGAGCCTTTCTGACTCGTACAAGTCTTTGTGCATGTCATGGCTGGTCTGGTGACAATAGAAACGACATGTTTCGGCCTTGACTCCGGCCAGAGGCCGAGCAGTCCCTGTCCCACGAGAAGAGGCCATGGCTCAAACGAGCCGCGACGGACTTCTGAATCGTAACTCTGCCAGGTTGAGGGCAACGTTACACACTGGCAAGGTATGGCTACTACATGCTGTTAAGCTAGTTGTTCAAGGTTCTGATCGGAATCCTGCTGGAGTGGCTCGTGAATGAAGGTTTGAATGCTAGAATGAAGGGCAAAGCTGGCAGGTTGCGATGACATCCTTCATTGCGCAAAAATGCCAACAACAAACGATGCTTCAGGGCTCATGCTGAATTTCCTTTCTCACGTGAGAGCAGGAACATCGATCCTGGTGGAGATCCAGGCAACCTTAACTAAGCAACCAAAGCCGTAGAAAACAGAAATCTCCAAAAGCTCTGCTCGGGTCCTGACCACAAGTAGCACCAAAGCTGCAAGCCGTGCATGGCGACGGTGCCAGGAGAGGCCAACCTCGGCTTGCATTGTGACAGCAGTGTTCCAGCAAGCCACGCAAGTACTAAGTGAACCCAACGCGGGCATGAAGAGGGGCAGGCAGGAATCTATCACACTGCGGGCAACATGATCCAAGGCACGTTGATGCCGGCAGCACTCAATGACATGCCGGAGGCGAGAGCATAAGCAAGTCTTTGGCCTGAAGGCTGCCAAGCATCCATTCGACAACATCAAAGCACCTCCACCGTGGTGCGAACATTTCTTCTTGGGCGCTGACTTGATGCCACGTCCGGCACACTAATAACCAGGAGTTGCTGCAATGGTAGGGAAGCGCAGAGTGCTGTAAAAGCTGGCCTCAAAGGTGAGCCAGGCAAAGGCGTACCATCAGGGCAGTCGTTTAGGCTGGAATTTGCTGTCCAAGCTCACGCTCTGGATCCGGAAAACTACCTGCTTGCTGCCCAAGCGCGGATAATCTGAAGCCAGAACCACCACAAAGATGAGCAGAAAGGCCTTGTGACACAAGGCATCCACAACAACATGCCAAGGATGTGCTCACTGCATCTCTTCTGTGGAGGACTTCTAAGCCACGAGCTGCAGAGGCGAGGAGCAAATTCCAGCCGCTTGCGACGCCTTGAAGCGCGCCTTGCTCAATCAGGCAAGGGACCGAAAACTGTTTAGACATAGCTATCACGCTGTCTTTGTAAGATGACATCATAAGGGCTTGTGCACAACAAGCAAACCCTTACTGCGATGCTCGGCATCCAGCCTAGAGCTCTGTCGACTCGAGAAATGACAAAATAACAAAACATGAGGTGCATGTTTTATTAAAATGGCTCCCAAAAAGACTCTTCCACAACTGCAGGGAGCTTGCTTTTCAACCAAGAGGCCCAGCTCCAGGAGCAGCACAGACCTCATGCCAAAGCTGCGCAGCGCTCCATGTTCTAAACTGCACTGCTTGCATCAAGCTGCGTATAGCTGCGCTACGTCGTGTCACATGAGTCAAAAGCATCATGTCTGCAATATCTTGCTAGACACGGTGTGATTAGCTAGTGTTTTGTTGCCTAGCCCCATCCTTGTGTAGCGACCATTGCAATTGCTGTGTCGTATGTTCTGTTCAATACTGAAAAATCAAGCGGCCGGAAGAATAAAATCAAGCTGCCTAGCTCTTCCTCAGGCCAAGGAACGATACGATGCTAATTCCCAAAATCCAATGACGCCAGCGCGGCGACTTGCGTACCTGACAGGGCAAAGCCAAAGGACAGTCCCAAAGAAAGCCAAGGAGCATGTGGCACACTGCAATACTCACGCTACAGGCTATTTGGCTATCCATTCAGGTTTCTCTTTCCTCGAAGACTGCTGCGGCAACAAAGAGTGTCTTGACATTTAATTAGCCAGTTTACAATGATATCACTGCACATGACTTCGCCTCGTCCTCGCGGAGCTTTGGCGCACTACCCTGGCCGTAGGCCTCAGCGCACAGATGTGCCCACTCACGCTACGAAGCATCCACGCAGCGCAAAGGGGAAGCACAGCAATTTCGGTTTCCTTCTGCAATCTGTTCAGTTGACCGGAGCTTTCTAAAGGACCAGGCTCTCAGCGAGTCGGGCCCCACAGCTTTGACACCTTATTCAGGTCGCAGCTGGAGCCCGCAACACATCAAGTCACTGCCGAGGTGAGTGCGCCACCACTTCGTGTGGTTGTCGCGGGTAGTGAAGGTGTAGGACGCGAAATCAATAGAAATTGCTGTCGGCGGTAATCCATCTTGAAACAGCTCCTCACTCGAAAGCCGCACACTAATTACGCCAAACCTTCTATAGTTTGATAATTGCCTCCAACCCTGCGCGCCCCTCCTGAGCACGTCAGTCCTGCATGGGAACACCTAATAGACCTGCAGCATCATCGTCTCCGTTCAAGATCTTTATGACCAGCACCTTGCAGGCGACATGTCCGGCAAAAGCTGTCATGAGGTGCCAGATGCACGATACCGCCCCGCAGAAATGCAATCACAAGTGGCTTGCCTTGAGGATTGTATTGGAGGAAGGTACGATCAGAAAATTGCGTGTCCACAGCGAAGAGCGAAAACATCACATATCAGGCAACAAGTGGTAGGTCCAGGACTGTCAAGGCAATGAAGCTATGCCAGTGTGCCTTTCTTGATCCAGTCTTTCAAGCCCTGTAATCAACGTATCAGGAAATGGGTTGCTCCAACAAAACGTATGGGCGATTAGCAGCCGCTTCAAGCTGCTGCAAAAAAACAACATTAAATCCAGTGTGCCGTGCCTGGAGAAATTCTGGGAGGTGCTGGTGGTAAGCATCTGCCGGCGCCTGCCCCCATCAGAAAATTTGGGACAGACCAGTTGAGCGCTTTCCAGTTGTCCTGCTAACGAATGGAACATCACAATTGACCCTGCTGCGGCGCCTTCTGGCTCCAGAGCTGCTCCAAGGAGGCCGTGACTCGAATCCACGTCTCCCAGTCCAGGCGGTAATGGTAAGGTGACCTTTGGAATCACAGTCAAAACAGGTCGAAACAGGATGTGTTCTTTCTGTCCGTAATCTGCATTTCAAACCAGGGAGCATCAGGCATGGCCTTCGGTCAGGAGATCCTGGAAGGCACTTGAAGTCCAAGGGTTTCCAAACCTGATCCCAGCACAGCACGGATGTGGAAGTGTTGGGACCCTGTTTGTGGTGATGGCTTTGTACATCTTTGCATTCTCCTCTTCTGGGCAAAGGGTATGAAGCCAACAAAAAGATTCAATACACGGCACGTGCCGCCAGCCTTTGGCCATGACGTCATGAGGCAACAGCAGTTTTGATGCTGACTAGTGAAGACTTCGATAAGGTCATCGTTGATCAGATGCCCTTTTGACAGAATTCCACTTGTGCTTCACTCTGTGCAGGCACGGGACGGCTTCAGGACCTCCAGGCACAGGATGATGCGTGTACTTCAACACCTCATGTATGCGAAGTTTTGTCATCACTCAACAGCTACTGCCTGAAAGTCGAAACTAAGGCAAGCACAACTTGAACCCGGTGCTTATTGATGAATCCGAAAACGCCCTGGGAGTTCATTAGGAACCTGGGCCGCAAAACGGTTCACGCGGGCATTCTCAGAAAGCACAATCAGAGAACAAACTGAAGCAAATAAAGCTGTTCACAATGGCAATGTTTTGACACTGTCAGGGAGCGGTGGCCGCAAGACTAGTGAGCCCTGCAGCCTTTTTTGCAGACTTGAAACCAATTGTCGTAGCTGTTGATCCAGGGTGCAGGACCAAACAGCTCCTCTCAGGTAACGCGCCATGGTAAAGGCTCGCAGTGCTGTAAGCTTTGCTCGCAATTTTCTCTGTCAAGCCAGAGCTGCTCTCTAATAGTCTAGAAGGGAGCCAGCTGCTCAATTTCACAATCGAAAAGCCGTCTCATTCGGGATAGCACACGAGCCTTAATGGGATCCTTGGACTTGTACACCATGACCTGAGCCGACAAATGCCGACAACACCGTGATGTCTGCGCCTCCACGAAACTGTCGCCAGGGAAACTATGCTCTTGTGCTTGCAGAACCTCTAGCCTTCACAGTTCCCTGCCATCAGATGATAAATAAGGCTTGGGGTTGATCTGATGGCCCAAGCGGCTGCGGCCATCAGCAGGCAGCAACACTTGAAATACAATCTAAAATGCAGCTCAGCCACCATGACCAGAACTAGATTGACCAAAGACCGCAAACTCAGGTAGCTGCGACGAAACGTGCGTCGGGTCAGTCGCGGTTCTGTGCAGCGAATGTGAAACTTCGTTTCTGCATGCAAAAGGTATGCCAAAAAGTTCTCGCATCATGCATGCACCATGCCCGTCATCTACTGTCGCAACGGCATGGCTGCATGACAGGCAGTAAGCGGCCTGAGGCCACATCGGAGCGCTCATTCGCCTCCTGCACGGCTTGCTGCAGCTTCTGGCGCCAGGGCCATGGCGTCCTCGACATTTCAAAGTCTGGGCGCCGGGTCTGCATGCTGAGGGATGTCGGGCCAACAAGTTTATCTTTCCAGCAGGAAGTTAGTCCACGCAAGCCTCGCTAGCGGGCGATGATCCAATTCGGGTGCCGGGACACACTCCAAGCAGGAATCCATCATCCAGCATCGCAAAGCAGGGTAGTGCCCCAATGAAGTTGATCCAAGCCTCAGCGAGTGCGGATTCTTCACATGGCCAAAGCCTTCCAAAACCAATGTGAGAGACGTTCAGTCGGAGATGCCTCCAGAATGCTCCATGACCCGAACAAAGAGCAAGATGGAATGCCTACGTGCTCCGCACAAGAACTAACACCTACGATCAGCAGTTAAGTTACGCAGCCAGAGCACGTAATTCCCTGTGCCAACAATACCAATCCTAAGTTTGACAACAAGGTCAATGCTTGCTCATCGACTTCTCGTCTGGTCAGCAGTCGATACTCCAAGCAGCCAAGCTTCTGGAAAGCCACCTCAAGAAGAGCGGCCGGCACTCCTGATTCAATGTGTTTCCGTGGCAAGATTGCAACAAGCAATTGCGAAGGGCAAAGCGAATCATCAACTGAACAACAAGACACCGCTAGAGACTGTCCATAGACCAGAATCGAAAAATGCGCATGGGCACCAGCATTGCGAAGGGTAACACGAGCTGCTCAACGAAGGTCAGGGCAACCTGACCACGAGATGGGGTGGCAGAACGTTTTCACAAGAGTACAGGCACAGCAGTTCAACGGCTCTAGCCCGACGGGAAGTGAAGCGCAGAGAGGCTTGTGGCTCGGCTGTCCAGTGTCCGGGCCTCTATCTTGTGAAAGCTCTTGGGCAAGTGATGCATATACCTGAAGTCCGCGAGTCCGCATTTTGCAGGGAGATCCAAAGAAGGGGGGAGACAGAATACCATTGAATTTTTCATAAAGCCTGCCATACAAGATTATCTACAAGGATTCCCTGTCTAGTCAACCAACATGATCAAGCACAGAGTACAGCGTGGTTCAGGCAGCTACCAGGATAAGGGATTTGGAATCGGCTGGGTGAAGTAGTGCGTCTCGGTGCAGCTGAGTTCGCGCCAGCAAGCCTGAAAGGCGGAACTAGGTCGGCACTGCACATTATGCAACGCGGCCATGACGCAAACAACGGGAACAAACCATCACGTTCAGCTGCAACCCGCAAGGTTTAGGCACTAATGAGTGATGAACTTGCAGGCAAAGAAGCGCTCGAGTTGCGGCCGACCTGCAAAGTCTTCATCAACATCAAGTGGCATGCCAGCAGGTCTGATTTTGAGCGCGACTCTTTTGAGGGTAGGGTCGGTAGGAGTTGGCGGCGATCTGATACTCCAGCAAGCTCTGGGCCAGTCATGGCCAGTTGCACTGTCTAATACCCAGATGCATCAAAGCCGAGCCATACCTCCAGCATACGCAGCCGCCGGCCCATCAACAGAGTTCCACACAGTAAAAAAACAGTTGGTTGCAGTAACAGTCATTTGGTGTGCCCGTACCTGTTGAGCGGGGCAGGGCACCGTACCACCTGGTACCTGCCTGCCGCGTCTATTCAATATCCAACGTCAAATGATGTCAAATGTTGCTGACTCGCGCGGTGTCGAGAAATACCAGCAAATAGCTAGATTTGGGAGCACCGGCAAACAAGCCATGGTACGCAGAATCAAATCCGCGTTGGGCCACGGAGTCTGCAAGTTCTCTGGAAGCAGGACTGAAGTCTGCCCTGGCATTGTTTTCGAACCAAGTGCATCCGATCACTACCAGCAAAATGGAGTTCTTTGTTTTGACCGGAGTTCCTTGAAAAAAGAACATCAACAAATTCATCTCAAGTATGATGGATACACCGAACAAGCGACCCCGTGTTTGCGCAACAATTTCCACCGTTTGACATAAGAGCATCCGCGAATTTGATTCATGAAATGTCGGGGGTTCCCAAAATTCGGGTCGCATTTTGGCACCCTTAAATATTAGGTGCGGCAATATAATGTAGACCAAAAGGGGCCCATAACTTTCAGAATTACCCAAGTGATGATCCCAGTAGTGCCCAGCCTTCGACATTCCTGCGCCAAGGAGTAGCCGGAAGGCACACCATCTAACCAGCCAGAGGACCAGCCTGAGACAATGAAAAGACACCCTGAGGTGGCAAGCAACAGTATATGGTAGTACGAGATTTTAAGATATGGTGAAATAAGTTATAATATAATATACGGCCCAGTGTTGGTAGTACTAGTGGTAGTAGTGGTAGTGGTAGTGGTAGTGGTAGTAGTAGTAGTAGTAGTAGTCGTCATTGTAGTAATAGTAGAAGTAGAAGTAGTAGTAGTAGTAGTAGTAGTAGCAGTAGTAGTAGTAGGAGGAGCAGCAGCAGCAGTAGTAGTAGGAGTAGGAGTAGTAGTAGCAGTGCCAGTAGTAGCAGTAGCAGCAGCAGCAGTAGTAGTAGCGGTACGAGTGGAAATAAGAGTGAGCATCCAGAAAAAAACACGCCCAAAAAGCCCTGCAAGCCTAAGCGCCAAACACCCTTGGGATAAGGTACATTGGTACATGCAACATGCACACAAGCTCAGGTTGGATTTTATAGTCTTCTTTTTCCAGTTCATAAGTCACTGCCGCCTGTTCCAAAACTCTCACTACAACAATACAAGGGATAAAGTATTGGCGACATGCAAATAAACCAAAAATGTTGGAATTTTGCAGTTCCAACACCATCAGCTCATTGTATATGAATGCCCGTTTCATACGCGACTCTACATCCCAGGGAAACATGCACACGGCTGTAAGTTTTGGCGCGAGCAGGTTCTGCATTTTCGCGCGTGAAATTCGATTCAAAAACAGAGATGCAGCAAATGGTGGCATTTCATGCCCAGTGTGTCTTTAAAACTAAGAGTCCTGTCCTCGAATCTTCAGCATAACATGCTAAAATGAAGTAGTTCGCCAGAGATTACTCATGCTTCTACTACTGCTCCTGCTGCTCCTCCTCCTCCTGGTGGTGGTGGTGCTGCTGCCGCTGCTCCTCCTGGTGCTGCTGCTGCTGCTGCTGCTGCTGCTGTCTACTTCCACTTCTACCTCTACTTCTACCACTACTCCTACTCCTATTACTCCTACTACTCCTACTCCTACTCATACGACTACTTGGACTCCTACTCCTACTCCTACTACTCCTGCTACTCTTGCTACTCCTCCTACTACTACTACTACTACCACCACTACTACTACTACTGCTACTACTACTACTACCACCTACTACTGCTACTGCTACTGCTACTCCTCCTCCTCCTCCTGCTGCTGCTACAACTACCACTGCTACCGCTATCACCACTACTCCTACTCCTAGCACTCCTACTACTCCTACTACTTCTAACACCATGCCTACTACGCAGAAACTGCCAAGTCCGTGGCATGGGATGGCATGAGTGGTTCAGCTGGATCCTGGCCTGGATGGAGGCGTCCATGTGCCAAGTCGAGTGTCCAAGATAGGACAGAGGAAGATGATCAGGAAGCCAACCTGCTACGCTGGTCCAGCATCGCAGAAGGTTGGATGCAGTGTCCCTGCCACAACTGGAAATTTGGCCTCACACGTGAGCCATTCCCAGCCATAGTTGAAGGTGAAAGCGGCCTATCCGACCACCAGAAAGCAGCAAAGGGACGCAGCAGGAGAAGTGCCCTGCCTGCAAGTTCACAATGGAGAGATACGCGGCCCACAGGAATAGCGGCACGAACCTCAATGAGCAAACACCGCTGTAGGGGGTTAGAACCCCTTTCGAGGGACTAGAATCTCCCTGCAAGTTACATCCAAGCGCACCGTAGCCATTTGCCAGTGCCGGGCAGCAAACTTTGTTTCTGTCCAAGCATGAGGTGCATGGAGAAAGCAACGCCAAGCCAACTCACCAGCCTTCGGGGTTTGTTGCTTCAAGGTTTCCATCTAGGGGAATGGCCGTTGAGATCTCGAGTTTCAGCTGCTGCGGCTTTGGGGCTGGGGGTTGAAAGAGAACTTGCAAGAATGACCCTGCAGTATTTTTTTGGACACCCCAGGTCAACCAGCATTGCAGCGATCCCATACCTTGTACGTCCCGAAACAAGACAAACTTCGGCCGTTTAATAGAAAGGTATGTTCATCATACAATCACCAAACGACAAGCAGAAGGCGAACAAGGGCAGTGCACGGAAAAAGAAGGCAATCCGGACTGTTGTTAGCCAAGTTTCTCAACAGTAACTATCACTCCTGCTGTCACGATTTGCTCGGAGGCTAGCAGAGGCCGTAGCTATCACAATCATTGCTTCTGTTGCTGCTGCTGGCACAACCACACCCATGGCTATGGCCATTGCAAGGATTACTGCTGTTGTACCGCCACAGCCCCTACTGCCGAGCTACTACCCGCACTACGATGCCAACCGGAAGCCATAAGACATTGTTCCGCTAGTAGTTAGCATTTCCGCCACAAGTCTGCTACGATATGATGAAGATAGTTCCTTACTCTTCTGCTACAGCATGAGGAAGATTGATTCTTGACCTGAAGGGAAGGAATGTTCTAGCCTAGCTGAAAGGATTTGTTTCAATCTGAAGCTGGGTGGCTCCAGCTGCCAATCGCCGAATCCGAGGCCCAACTCATCGAAAAGATCGAAAATGGGGGCAGGCCGCCGCCTGTGCCTGTAGTGTTTCTGACTCATAGCTTCCAACAAAAATGAAAGGCCATATACTTATTGAATATAGGGATCTCCGAAAAGGACCTCGAATTTCCATGTTTTTCGTTTGGAAACCTGGGCGTTCCACTCCACTCGCGGGCATCAGTGGCACGGCATAAGTGAGAATCTGCATTTTGGGGAAGCTGACCCTCATGGTAGAAAGCAGTGTTTCATCGAATGCTTTGCCTGCAGCTCTCACCGGATCTTGAAATCATCGAAGGGGGCTTCTAGTTGACTGCCCTTGCTTAACCTCAAAACTCCTCCCGCACTGCACATGGATGACAGGCCATGCTTGCTGCACCAGCGTGCCTGGTCACGGGCATCAAGCCAAGTGAGCCCCACAGGGCTCGATGCTGTACCTGTGTACTTGCGGCATGGGTGTGAAGATTCTGTTCTCGAGCTTGACACTGCTTTCACACTACTCAGCTAAATTGTTTCTCCCACATGCATGCCTGCTGCATTATGTACCAGTAAGAATCTGCAACTACACAAGCTCAAATCACACCGAAGATCCGCGGAGACCATGAAGCCACAGAAATAGCAAAGTCCCATACCTTCAGGGTTGTATCTGCAATCTTGATGTGTAACCATGAGACACTACCTGCCGATTTTCATAAGCTGCTCTTTGCCTCACAACGTGCCTCCCGGGGACTCCCAATAGCTGTCTCGCAATGCACTAGCCGGGACTCATTTTTTCAGGGCTTCAATGTTCGAATAAGGCAAGCTGGAATGTGCATACACGTGGATCGTGGAAGTTTGTTCTATCTCAAATGGGTTCATGAGGTCTGTACTCCAGAAAGCCCGGCAAAACATGTTGTTTGGCTGAACAACCAACCATGTAGTGTGGATCTTCTCCTGACCCATGCTTTGGCAAAAACAAAGTTTTGCCGCCAGCCTCGAATCAGCAAATCCCTGGTAATCCACCAGGACGTGCTCCAGTCCAAGTTACCTCAGTCCCATTCACAACAATTCATAAGCAGACTTGCAAACAAGCGCATGCGAATTGGTCTGGAAGTCTAGAATGAGAAGCACCTTGTTTCCGCCCATTTCGCAGCAGCGCCAAAGGAGTGAGAGAGGCAGCAACCAATGCCGCCATGATGGGAGCTGCCTCGTATCTGATGTCAGAAGGATTTTCCAGTCCGTCCGCACCAATTATGTAATACAGGGAAATGCAACGAAAGCATCAAATGCCCGTGGCGCACTGATAGCCGATCCATTTGAACGTCGCTTAGCATCATGCTGGTGCCAGACCAAAAAAGACTAAGAAAATACCTCTTCACCTTGGGGAAAATGAGCAGCAAGTTTGCAGCAAACAAGCTTACTTTCGAGTGGCATGCAAAAACGTCCTGACTGCATTTACACACGCAGCTATGGCAGTTGTTACACAGAGGGGTGTCTACCAAAAAACGAGAGGGCTTCTTGGTTTTGAGAACTCAGTTGTCAAACCCTGTCGCTTGGATGTTCAGCGCTCTTGGGTGAATGACTGAGCGCTCACTGTAGCACTTAGCAAAACGCGCGTTGCGAAGGGAACTTTAGTAAACCAAGGCAGCATGCTCGGTCACAGCATGAGAATGCCGTAGAAACAATTCTACCGCCCATGAAAAATGGTGACGTCAGTCTTGTCAGACCCAGCTAGTATATGCAAGTTTCCGCACACGATCTTGCGCGAGAACTCCTTCTAAGCATCCCGCATCCAGCCAATCGCTCATGGTGAATTTTTGCAGGTGCTGCCATGTCGTAGGCAGCTTGGCCTGCAAGATCAGCTTTAGCTTGCCTGCGACATGTGGCCTCCTGTGCTAGCAAAGCATTACAGGCTCGCACGGCTGCTTGCACCCATCCTTCGCCAAAGAATTCGCAAGCAGCTTTAAGAGCGCTGGAACCTGCCCAGGATGTAAATCCAATATGCTTGCAATAGTTAACCTGCACAGCTCAGAAAGCCGAAGCTAAGCCTGAAGGTACATCAAATCTGAAGCATGGAGGGACTGACATATGAGTTAGTGCAAAGGCACAAGTGGCAAGAAGCTGGCAAATCGATCATCCTGAGAGCAACCGCCATCAGCTCCTCGCCTCTGTCTTCCAGAAACTGACCTTGCTTTCCACGGATGGCCACTGTACTGAGCTTGGGGTGGCGTTGAGAACTGAACAAATATCACGAGGCTCAAGTACCAAAACCGTCTTTGAAAGCAGGGCTCGCAACATTTCTCTTGCAACTGAAGAAGCTGAATGTGTATACCCATGTGTTGCCAGAATACGTAGGTGGCCCAAGAGCTCTGCAACAAAGCAGGCAATCGCTCACGCACATCGCCAGCAAATCCTGCCAGCTTCCTTTGTCAGCGAGAAAAAATGTGCAGCGAGATTGGCAAACCACGAAAAGGCATTCCGCAAAAATGTTCTGGGACTTTGCCGGAGATTAGGGCCAGGTGCCCAAGTTGCCCCCCGACAGCGGAGTCCATCAGCACGTGCAGGGCTTCATGCGCAACTTGTATTACGAAACGTGTCTCGCTTTCGCTGGGAAACTAAACGTGCGCTACCAAAGAGCTTGACAAAAAATGCATCTTGCAAAAAGCCATGTCTGTAGCGAAGCATGCTCAGATCAAAGACCAGATCGCCAATGCTGTTAGCAAAATAACTGAGCTGCAAAAACGACGCAACGAAGAGCATAAAGACCTTTCTTAGGTGCGACGATATTCGTCAGTCACCTCAAGCCTAGGGTTGGGTGGGAACTTGGCCCAGTGCTTGGGTTTTTCAGTGCGAGCAAGGACACTGGCTAATTATTGTACCCATCAGAACTTTTCGCCAAAAGGTTAGCCAAACAACGTCATCTTATCTTGGCAGGAAAAACCGGGACAAGCTTCCAATTGGAGGGGCCAAGACCCTATGTACATGGAAGCACGGCATGTGCCCATCCTTTAGAGTGAGCGGCGCGGAGCCAGTATCGACAGCATGTCAGCATCTGCTGAGCTGTGTCATGTATGTACATCGCCAAGTCCTGCTGTATGCCAAGTACGAGCTCAGTATCAGCACTCGTTCCATACGAGTTTCGAGGATGCTGGCTTTTCTTGCCACAGATCGTAGAAGCTTATGTGCGAGCCTATGGAGGAACCACTGGTTTGTCAGCAGCTGCCACACATCAAAAGGGCCAACACCAAGGCAAAGTCCGATCCTGTGCAAATTCCTGCGCTGGCCCAGCTAGTACCTCACCGGCGTTCCCAACTCCTTGCCGACGCAATCCAGAAGCATGAAGCCTTGCACGCAAAGCAGCAGCCATCCCACACTACCTTGACACTAGGTGGCAGAATGCGCACCAGGCGACGTGGAGTTTTGGTTCCTGTCTAAGGATTTTCGTACCTTCAAATAAGTAAATCTAGTCGCACGCAACGCGCTGCCGCTTTCCTTCCCAAAAGACGAGCAAGGCTAATTGCATCCGATGACCAGAGCATACCAGTGCATCCAAGACCATACCCTCACCAGCATGCATGCCCAAACCAGAATAATGCTCGTGTTCCAAGACCATACGCTCACCAAAGCGTCCATGCCCACACCACGACAGTGTTCGTGTTCCAAAACCATACCCCCACCAAATTATCCATCCATGTCCAAACCAGAATAATGTTCGTGTTCCAAAACCATACGCTCACCAGAGCATCCATGCCCAAACCATGACAATGTTCGTGTTCCAAAACCATACCCTCACCAGAGCATGCATGCCCAAATGACACTGTTCGTGTTCCGAGACCATACGCTCACCAAAGCATCCATGCCCAAATCATGATAGTCTTCGTGCTCCATAACCATACCCTCCCAAGTGCATCCATGCAAAAACCAAAACGATGAATTACATTCCTATTCCGAAGGCATACGGTCCCCAGGGCATGCATGCCCAAACCATAAAAATATTCGTGTTCCAATACGATACGCTCACCAGAGCATCCATGCCCAAACCACAATAATGTTCGTGTTCGCTCACCAGAGCATCCATGCCCAAAGCATCATCACGCTTGTGTTCCAAGAGCATACGCTTACCAGACATCCATGCCCAAACCATGATAATATCTATGTTTCTGTTGTAGTTAGGACACTATTTGTCAAAAAACAAATTAGCTTCAGCTATATGCAAGAACCCCTGTCTTTGCCCGAAATGCGAAAAATAAATAAATAAATAAATATATATATATATACCAAAGCCCTGCATTCAGTCAACCAGCCTCCCCCCTGCTTTCGGCTACTTACACTGCCTGGATGCGGAACACGCGTGCAAGACATCTATGCGTCTGGGTGGCCTCCATGACTATGCTTGTGGCCTCAGTGCCAAAGAAACACAGCCACTTTGGTAATAAGACTACCCGCCCAAAGGTACAGGTCGAGCACGCTAACCAGCCAAACATCACCAAGCTAGTTTGTCCTTGTTGTATTTAGACTCAGAAGCAGCCAAAGGACAGAATTTGAACAGGTCGGGATCATCATTCGTATCCTGCAGGAGCAGTCAGCAGTGGGCCATGGCCAGAGCAATAACTAGCACACACAAGACGTGTGCGGTTCATGCGAGGACATGGAGGGCCAACTTCACTGGCGCATGCTGACCCAACTTGCACCTTCAATGCAGAAGCGGCAGTGTTCCTACGAGCTTACATCATCTACCGTGTCAATCATAGGCCAGCTCAGAAGGTCTGGCCTTTAAGCACCCCAAAGGCTCCACACAACAGAATTTACGAACGGAATTTGCAGGCCTCCAAATTGAATCGCCGGAGATCCGCAAGCACTGTGTCAAGCTGCTCATTAAGCCCAAAGCCTTGCAAGTGTATTCAACCGGCCTCTCCAACTCAACCAACACATTCATTCTGCTCCTAGTCTATCCGACCGTTGAGTGCACTTATTTCATCAACTGCCTGACTGGTGAGATCTGTGTTTGCTTCTTCTTTGAGTCTTGCTGCGGGCCCTTTCGATGCTGGCTGGTACGGCCTCCGTGGTTGCTTCGATATTTATGTTGCTCAACGCTTGCCTCTCAGTGGCTCTACTGTCCATAAGAGCTCTATAAGCAAGATCCAAAAGCAGGCAAGCAACGTGCATGGCGTGCCACATCGGAGCATGTGGCCCACCAGGACTCCTCATGCTGTACTTGCAGACAAGGAGCCCAAACCGGAACCTGAGACCTGATCTCACCTTGAAATGAGTCTGTATCCGATGGTGCTGGCCTCGTGCGCACCCTCGAGATTGCCAGCTGTCCGGGCCAAGGTCCTGACGGTACCTTGTGTTTGCGGAACGCTGGGGCCAAGTGGTCTAGTTCATACATTGAACACAATGCAAAAACACCTGGAAAACACTGCACGGCCACGCAGGGCTCGATTTACCTTTACATGCACAACGAACCGTCCCAGGCGCCTTCCCACTGACGATTGCGCCGTGGGACAGTTGACCTTGCTTTGGCATCAGCCGCGGTGAGGACGACTCGTGGACCTGTCAATGCCCGCTTCAATTTGCACAAGAGAGGAGAGAGGCTTCCTCAAAACAAGCTTAAACGCAAGAATGCACACAGTTTTACTCCCATGCAAACTAAATATCAAGGAATGACGACAGAAATAGGAAGCACACGTAAGTCGCCTTTTTGCAAAGGCGAGCTTGCCCAAATACGCAGCTCGAAGTAGTCCTCCTCAGAAAGTGATGGCAGAAATCTTTGCCCAATGCACACGTCCCTGCAAATCCCTGCACTACCGGCTGCAAGATGAGGCTTGTCGAGAACGCGCAGCAATGGCCACACCACGTGACCTGACCCGGAATCCGGCGCCTGCGGATTCCAACTGCGGACCAGGGCTTTGCCTGGAGGAGTCCTTGCAAGCTTGAAGCAACAGCTTCAGCAGAAGACAACCATGGAACGCCAGAGACACCAAACACGGCATGTCAGGTGCTTGCACACTCTGGATTCAGGACCCAGCTGTTGATGACTTCAAACCACAAATGCTGTCAGGGCACAAAATTTCCGGGGCAATAGTTGCGATCTTCACGTTCTGAGCTTGCTCCTGTTTGCCTTATAGTGGAGAGACCGGGCAAGCTGGATCAATTTCATGGCCAAACAGAGTTCTGCCAATGTTGTTCACAAACCCGTCAATCCAAAGGGGTGAAGGAGCCGAAGCGAGGGTTAGGAGCACCGGACGAAAAGAGAATAACGAGGCATACTGCCAAAGAATTCCTAACGTGGCCGTTCGCTGTTCAGAACTGGTGCATTAGCAAACTGGACCAAACTGTTCCGTCTCACTTGCAGCAGCGAAGCTCTGATCCTCTTCAACATTGACAGTCGGAAGCACGGGCAGAATAATTTGAGATCCCCGTCGACCCACCTGCACGAGGGACAAACGCAGCCAAGGCTTTTCTGCAGGAAACCCAACGGAAAGCCCGTGTTTGTCACGGCCAAGACGCTGAGGAGCGGCGGCCACCAGCAGCTGGAGACTTACGGCTACTACGCGCAGGCTGGACGGGACTCTCTGCTGCACAAGGTGCCGCACCATACTGGAGGGGTGCTAGAGCATGCTTTCTGCGAGAAAGTCTAGCAGGCACTTTCAATACAGTAGTCCAACACATATCAAGGGCAGCTTTGCAACACCACGACGCAGGACTTGGCACTGCCAGTCCTCGAAGCCTTCGATCCGGCGGAGACGATGCTAATTCGCGATTGCATCTGTCAGTCAAGGTGGAGCAGGCTTCAACGAGGCTGCATCTCGAGGTCATGAGATGCCATGGAATGAGTGACGCAGCACATGACTCCTGCCTGAAAACACGGAAAACTTGCAAGCCAAGCCATCTGCCGATTACCCACCCGAAACAAGTCAGGAATGTCTTCTCCAAGAATGCTACCACCTTGCCACACAGCCCCAACAAAAATTTGCAATCAACCATAGGCCTTGTTCAATACCTGTGCTCCCGCGGTAGCATTGGACATGCTCAAGCGAGAGGAGCCTCGCCCTGCGTCAACGTCGTTGTCTGCACTGTGGGCTCTCACGGTTTTCAGGCAGTAGGTGCATCTGGCTCAAGCTGAGGCACGTGTCAACGAAGGGTCCTCAAGCCCCGTGGATTGTCGAGGACCTTGCCTCAATAGAACACTGTCAACAGCTGAGGCAGAAGACTGGGCCTGCGACTGTGACTGAACGCTCAAAATCCCAGCTGGTCATGCTAGCTGCTAAGGCTTGCAGGATGAAATTCGCTCTCGTCCGATGTGAAGATTGTAAACCCTTCCAAGACCGCCTCAGGTGCCACTCTTAGCCATGCAAAGTGAAACTATGCTGAGAAAAGTAGCAAGTATTCCTACCCGGATGCTATCCAGAACCAGACGCCACTGCAAGTTGTTGTGATGGCAAAGCACTGCTCCTACAATTACTTCTTCACAACCAAAACTGCGTTGCAAACCAGTGAATCACAGATTTTGCAAAATCATGCAAAATCAATTTTCAAAAACCTCATGAGCGTGTTGCAAACGCTACAGAAACATGCGCACAGAACGGTTCAAGCGTGATGGTGGCTTGAGGCATCATTTTCAGAATCCGCGTAGCGCCTTGCGGGAATAGAGTAGGTGATAACGGCAGGGCATGATGATTTAGGAGTCCATACACAAGCACTACCAGGACTGTGAATCACAAAGAGTTGAAATTACCTGTCTGTGTATACTGTACTGGCTTCCACTCTCTTCACTTTAACTACTGCGAGACTGTCCTCCAAAACTTTACAGAACCATCTAAGCTGGGATGCTGATAAGACTGTCTCCGGCTTGCGCCGGAAGCACGACGACTGGTCGGCTCCTGCATTTTGCTGAATTCGCACGGAAATTTGCTGTACAGCAATACTCAACGGATGACGCAAGGATAACAATAGAGTTACACAACAGGATCCATCTCTGAAAAACTTGCTGCGGCCTCACACGTCTCTCTGAGACGCTCAGCAAAAGTAAATACCGGTACTCTCGACATGCCAGCCAGCGTGCAAACGAGAAACACAACCTGCCTCAGACTCGGCAGCGGAGGGCGGTCTCTCTGCTGCCTACCAGAGAAGGGAGGCACGGCAAAGCTGTCAAGCGCTTGCACGGACAGCACCGCAAGAGAAGTGATACAACATCAAGAGTCTCCCATATGCTTATCATCCTCGAGTTTGACGTGTTGTCCGTCCTGAAGTTGGTGTCTGCCTCGAGCCAGTACGAAAGTCAAGGTCTCCTCTTCAGAGCGTTGATGGTAAACTACCTGTCTACCTCACACTGTCTTAAACACGGCCGGGCATTCGCACAGTTGGCTTCGCCTGCACGGACAACTTGCACAGTCTCCTGCGCTTTGGCCTCTATCTCCAGCTGCACCCGAATAGGACCGGGCCGGAGGGAAACTAAGCACAAAAGGGTGCTTAAAGTGGAAACACGCAAGCCGCAGGTGATTTGGCAAGTCTCAAAGATCCAACAGTAGAGGTAGCGTTGAATGACCGAGGAATACATGACAATGGTAGGCGCAGTGAAGTAGCAAAACTCCTGTTTGCATCTGTTCTGCTGAACACGGCAAAAGCTGAGCCGTGCGCGGCTCTGTGCAGAGGCGATGATCTTGTAAATTCGTGGCTTACCTACAACACCTGTGCGCTCTCCAAAGAATTGACACAACATCACCCGCAGCAAGCTGCTCATTGACAGAGATGCATCTGCCACACCTCAACACAAGGATCACTGCAAAGAAAGCATGGCACGTGATGAAAGGCTCGAAATATGAAAGTCTACTAGGGCAAGCTATTTTTGCGTGATGCACTTTGCAGTGCTTTGCGGCCTGATGCAGCAGCTTGCTCTTCCTGGACAGGCCGGTACAGGATGAATGACCGATAAAATGGCAGAAATGTGACAGGAAGGGGTGTCAAAACAGAACAGGCAACTTGGCCCGTCCAGCCGCCTTTAGCTTCGTCTGCGCTGTCTTGGTGATGCCCTTCCTAAAGATCTCTTCACCTGAGAAAGCTCGCAGCTAGGCACGTTTAGCGAAAGCAAACTCCTCTGGGCAAATGCCATGTCTTCAGCGCCTGCCTTGGTCATCCTCGTTCTCCTCTGAAGCCAGTTGCTTGACGCGCTTGCCCCAACAAGTGCTCTGGAGAAGCCAAAGCTCCTAGGACATGTCCCCCGTTCAAAAACCTTCCTAGAAGGGACTCTGATGAGGAAGGCCTACATGCACGTTCCTCCACAGCAAGCGCTCGAGGATTCATGCCAAGTTCAGGTAAGCAGCCAGTGTACTGTTTGGCTCCAAAAGCTTGGCACGTAGCTCAGCTCCTCTGAGATCGCGGCAACATGACAACTTTGTATGAGAATCTCATGGTGGGAGGACGACTCGTATGAGCAGGCAGACAAAGGCCGCACGAGAAACAACTGCGCGATTGCAATGTCTTCAGGTGACATGAAGTGGCTGCTGTTATGTTTTGCAAGCTGGCTTATTCTCAACTGCAGCTTAGATGCTGATCAGTGAGACACGATTTGTCTGCACCTGCCTCAGGCATCCCCGGTCTGAGCTTGTCAACAATAGCCGTTGAACATGCTTCGTGCACTCACTTGCAGCGGAATTCATCTGGTTTGTAGAGTTGTTGTATCAACTCTGCAAGAGCTTTGTGACGAGGAGCACTTGAGGATTCTGCGCAGTGCCAGGGCCGCCATCTGGACTCCAGTGCCCTGCAGCGCATCCGTAGAAATATGCAACATGTGTGCAGGAAACACAAGCGTCAAACAAAGGATTACGAGTAAGCCGGGTACACGCAAACTGGAAAACAAAATACAACAAATAGCCAAACATGCACCTGCAAACTAGCCACTAAACATACTAAACTGTGAAACAACCAAAAAAAAAAAGGAAGGCGCAAAATCCTAATCAGCCAGCCATTGGAACAGATCAGCATGAAGTCAAAACTCCGCCCACTCACAAATCAGCATCATCACGCAGTTGAGGCATGGTGTTAGCACGCATTCTTGCAGCACATCACGCCGCCAGCTATGCAACACCTTACTCACAAAGCTAACCACCAATCAAATCATTCAGCTCGAGCGCCGACTAGTCTTACAATGCTCATGTAGGGCTGGAGCCAATCCACGCACAGCTATCGAGGAGGGCAATTTTGATGACCTACCATTACTGCTACAACTGCTCCCAGCTGCAGCACCAGCTTTACCGAGAGGGTCAAGCAAAATGCACTTGCGGCCTCGCCTCTAAGACAGCATGGACCTTCCGAAAAATCTCCTTGCAACACAGCTTGTGTCAGTATGCAAGGCGAAAGCCCAGCTCATTCTGGTCTGAGGCTGTGTTTCCTGCAGCAGCTTCGTCGCCTCAGCACAAGTACGATATCTATGTCTGGTGCGTACCCTTGAAAGGCAACCAAAGCACTGTCCGTCGACTTGTCAGGGAACAGCTCGAGGCGAACTTCCTCAACCAGCTTTGTAATCTCGGGATCCTGGACGAAGCATCTGCACCACAAGTGGTCTTTGTTCACCCATGAGGGACGCACCATGTGCCTCCGTTAGTGAAGCGTTTGACACTTCGCCATCATCCTGAAAAATGACTCGACATAAAACCCTGCAGCTCAACCACGTGCAAGCATGCAGGAAAAAAGAATGAACTTTCACTCTCACAGCTGAAGGTCCACTTAGAAACTCAGGCAGCAACGGCAGTACTGCAAGAACCTGTGGAAAAACGTGTAAGAAAGTGGTTGCGCCGTACTCAAAATCTGTCCGCCCAAACACAAGTCAAAAAACAGTCCGCAATTCAAGAGTGGTCTGACCTGAATCTCAGTTGCACGCTGTTGGCATTTTCATTTGCAACAGCCGTGGAGAAGCTCGCCTCGCCAACCTTGGATCTCTTTTTGCACCTGCTCTGCTTGGAAAATCTCTGCTCTCCTTTCTGCATGGACTCCTGCTTGAACTGACTTTCTGATGATGCGCAAGCTTCACCCCCCACCATCGCTGTATGCAACTGCACGTGCCTGGAAGATCTGATGCCTTTGTAAGGGCATCTGGTTGTCAGATGAAGCAGCAGACAAGCAACCAGTTCACAAAGCTCCCAAATAGATATCCGGTCATCCAGCGCAGTAGTGCGATCCTGGTCAATGTTTGTGCATACTGGTCCGCTTCCTCAAGTGTGAATGCCGCCCTTCTGAATCCCAATTTAGTGTCACTGCAGTCCTTGGACGTTCGCAAGGCATCAATGCAGGCAGCATCAAGAACTTGGGCAAGTTCCTGATGCTACATATGGGGATCATGGAGCAACTTTGCATGTTGTGAAGCTACAGGGAAGACCTCGAATGTCACGCTTCCATGCCCGGCAATGTGGCCACTCATCGATCCAGCAATTAGGCTGAAGTGTTTGAAATCTTGATGTGCCAATTGAATAGAGTGGTGACTGTGAAGGGTTGACCTGTTTCTTGGAAGCTGAGTTGATGCTGCTTGAGCCCAAAGACAAGATTGAAATTGATGTTTGTCGTCAATCCACACACTATTTTCTGGAAGCTTAAACTGCCCAATCACTTCCCGCTTAACATCCCCCCCTAGCTTTCACACAAGCTGTGTGACAAACCGGACGCGATTCATGGCTAATGGTAATAAGACCACAGCAGACAATGGCGCAATTTCACTGACATTTCAAGCTGGTGCCTCCGGATGCCCAAGTGACAGGTGAATAAGAAAAATCAGAT